GTTGAGCTTTCCCGAGACGGTAGACGAGAGTAATTTGAAAAAGACTCGCATCAACGACGAGTGCTCCAGCTTAACGAACCTTACTCAAGCGATTCTGCATCGTCGCAAGGTACCCGATATCGGCACGTGAAAGTCGACAAATAAAAAGATAACTTAAGATTATTACCAATTACATTATACGTAGGTGGAAAACGAAGAAGACGACGAATGCGATTCGATCACCGAGTCTGACACTGGAACCAACGAAGGTCCGCTGGCTTCGGATTACTGTCCCGCTGTTAGTCTTGTTGATCAAGTAATCGACGTAGATAATCTTGTTACCAAATTGTTAAAAGTGCTGCGGATAATACAGCTGGATAACGACACGTGTATACAGGAACTGAAAGAGGAGAAGTAAGCTCGCGATTCGTTTCCGTGGATCCAGCAGGTAAAATGTATACGCTGTTTAAACGCGTGGTGATTTACAGATCCGAATTAGAAACAAAGTTGGAGGTAACCGTAACGGAATTAGAGGAACTTCGTAAGATAGTGGACAGCCTTCATCAGTCGGAAGAGATTTTAAGCAATACGTCGGATAGAAGGCGTAGCGTCATGGAAAATTGCCGTCTGCTGATCAAAGAGGTAATGGTCGGCGATGTTACCGACACATATCTGTAAACATGCTTCTGAAGACATTTTTAAATAATTTTTTTAACGAACAATTGACTTTTTAAAAAAGATGTCAAATGGAATAATTCCTCTATAGGCGGGTAAGGAGGAATTAAAATTTCACGAGCCCGCAGTTGGTAGTAATAGTGGCCCTGGAGAAGCTACAGATTGCGAAGATCTCAACGCGAACGCAGCGGCTCAACTTCCTTCCTAAACGTGTTTCCACATGTCTGTTTCTTTTTTTTTTTTGGTAATCGTTTTTGACGATGTACGCCCGTTTTATCGAGTCTCTATCGACGTTCGCATAACTGTTCGTTGACGTTCAAGCGAGATCCACGTCGAGATGTCCTGGCGAAACGTCCGATAGAGAGTCAACGACGTGCAAACTTTGTTCTTCGGTGAATTATGCCAAGGTGATTTTTGGTAATATCGTAGTCCACAGACGGCAGGCATTTTGCGTGTGTCGATATCATGTACAGCTTTCTTCGTTCCGTCGCAACGGCAGGTATATTCATACGCATTGCTTTAGTATTTTATCGTTGACTCGTATCGTGTATATAACAGTAAAGATTCCCCATAATTTTCGAGCTAAATCGTAGTCTGTGATCGCGATCCGATCGTAATTTACATCATACTTTGAATCATTATTATCATTTCGCATAGCGTTGTCGAACTAAGGGTTAATTACTCCGCGTTAGAATTAATTGCGGTTAATTGCTTAAAGAAGATGTAGACGAATCAAGGAAAACTTAATTGCGACTAGCGAATGAATTCGTCACGCCCATCGAATTCATTTCGTCGTCCAATAACAATGAAGATTTTCAAGAAGTATTAATTCCTAGGGAAGCAGATAGATTTTAACGTACCTTAACCTATTCATTCAAGTTTCATCCCTTTATTTCTAATACTAAAAAGCACGTGTAATCTATTAACGCGAAATACAGGGTACATTAGTTTTACGATTCATCATTATATCGGACGAATTGGCATTGTGTCAGTAAACGGAATCTATCTTCGACGATTTAAGTGTCCCTAGATTTTTTCAACAATAATTGCCGGTGTCTCTTTCGTTGGGCTGGACGCAAACTGTTCCCGTGAGTATCAAAGATGTAAAGAAAGAGAACACGTTAAACAGAGCTGCTTTCTATTTTAACGGTGAGATATATTTGAAAAAAAAAAACATATTCTTATACACGCTTCCATGATTCACAATTATTCGTCACGTACGTTGAGACGATGTATATAAGTGATTCATTGTGAAACTTACGTTCTAACGATCGATTTTACTTTTTTTTTTTTTTATTATTATTAAAGATCTTTTTTTCTTTTCGAAGTACAAGTTACTTGCTACAAACCGTATTTGTAAAGTCCGTGTGAAAGTGATCGTTTTCTTTCTCCCTTCTTTTTTAACGACATAAACGATTCCACCCAGACGATGTATATTCTGAGGAACATAGTCCTAAGCATTTTTTATACAAAATATTGTGATGATATACCAAAAAGAACTCACGAATAATGTATTTTAATTTTTAATCAAATAAATTTCATTTCGATAAGAACATATTGTACATTGTATCCTTAGGCGTAGAAATGTTTACGAAAGACATGCGTACGAGTTACATTAAAGAATACATGTAATGTAACATATTGTACCGTTGAAAAAAAAATCCCATGCATATAAACCTTGCACCGTTTACTAGATCTTGTGATGTAAATTCGATTGAAATACTTTCAGTCTTTAATTTTTTTTTTTTTTTTTTTTTAAACCTAGTCTTAGGTAGGTTCAATTCCTTGCGAGCAACGTGGAGTATAAATGATTACCTTGATGACGAATGTAATATAATATGATGACAATGGGCGCTACGTGACTATTAGGAAAATAATGATGAATCGATTAAACCTTACGTTTTCTTTAATGTATGTAAAAGGCGTTCTTCACCCTTGACGAAAACGACGCAGGAACGGAACCAGTAAATTTACCAAATGCGAAGCGTCCCTGAAACAAAGAGATGTTTATATTAGTTTTAATATTCTCGAATAAAAGTACGTGTACACTCGGAGTAGAAGGAAATAGTTTTTGCAGCTCAAGGACACTTCCACTGAACGACCCTTACATTGGTACTTTCATTACGAGGGGCACGATTGTGTCTCGCTTGCCTTGAGCGACCATAATTTTTACCTTTAATCTACTCTGTACAACTTTCTAGATTCTCAGAGTATCATGCGAGTTACTTATCAGGTAAAAAAGAGCAATCGATTTCCATTCATCTACTACGACCTATCGATCCCAATTACGCCCTCGATACCTCTAATCCTTCTCATTTCTTGTAGAAACAGAAAAAAATGTACCTGTTCGATGACTTAGGTGCAGGCATCGGTTTGTTCGAGGTTGGCTTCGACGGATCGAGGATCGGTAAGTCAGGTTTATCACCAGCAGTACCAGCTAGTAGTAACGCCTCGACGGGAGCCAAGACGAACATCACACCGTCCACGTGGATACGGTAATTATCGGTTCCGTTCTGTCGTTGATCGTAATAATCGACTTCGGACGAACTTGAAACGGGTGGCGTCGAGCTCGGTGATTCCACCATCGACGTCTCATTAGCAACTGGTAAACACTTTACTCTATTCGAGAAGAACGCGACGAGGACCAGCACCGTTTTGAAGACACGCATGTTTATCGATATCATCGATTCGCAGTCGAGAGTATCAGTCGGATCAAGTTGGATACCTAACGATCGTCGAACTTCCTTCGACGTTCAGGTTTCGTAGAGCCACGAAGCAAAATCGATCTGTCCAGTACCAAGAGACAAGTTGATGTAATTGGGAAGACTGTAATGGATTTCGACGAGAGAAAATAAATAGATATCTTCGATGGTAGCTCGAGGAACGTCTTGACGACGCGGAGAATGAACGAGGTGTGACGACGTCTCCTGCCGACCACCGATCCCGGTCCCCACCTGGCATGGAAACAGATCGGCAAGTTCAAGAACCTGCAGGCCACTGTTCCCTTGCATACGTAGCCGGGTGGAGCGTAATCACGGATGGAATCGATTTCCTCTACCTTTGCGACTTTGATGTCTTACTCGAGACTTGCGTCAGAGCTTCTATGGAACAGAGTGATCGATCTATTCCGAGTGTAAAGCTCTCTATATTCCTATGCAAAAATGATTCGTATGTTCCCTAAACAAACGCAGTTGTTATTTAGTAAGTATCTTTTATTTCGATTATCCTCCATCCCATCTTCTGCTTAGTTGCAGGTACAATTCAACTCGAGGGCAAAATAAAGAATACTCGTTAAGTACAGGAACCAATTTTCTTGGCGCCTACGTAACATTCGCGCGAACAACGAGATAAGAACACGCGTGGTCCGCAGTGTGCACGAGAGGATGCCCCCCACGTGCAGAGAACCGATTTGTAAAAGGGCAACGGCCTCGTGTGGCCCCACCGAGTTCATTTCCCCGTCCTCTGGCTGCCAGTCGCCGCCTATTACCGTAACCTTGCCCTTGCTCTCACATTTCCGCCATTCTTGAACTTCGCGGATTATCGTTTTCCTTGTATCTCCCCCCCCCCCCCCCTCTAACGAGCTTTATCGAATCCATCGCGAACAGGTCACCTAAAACATGTTTCCACCTTCCTCGTCTCCTTCGGTCTCCTTGTTTGGTCATTCGCGACGTTTTCAAACGTATCCGAAATTTTAGGTTATGTGGGCAGTAGCATGACTGCAGAGTACTCTGCAGGATGATCGAAGAGTTTGAACTATCTTTGGATTACGTAACTTATGAAATGAAGCGATGTGAAAAAACTTGGACTTCGAATAAATCTGAAGCCGATGTGTTTGTCTCGTTTCCTGGTTTGGAAAATGTTCATTTCTGAAATGTACATCGTATTTATCTGGAGAAACAAATTCAACCAAATGCTGACTTCTGGATAACGTTGAGTGACAAAACCAGAAACTGTACACAGCTGACTCGTTTCTGTGTAAATATGTACAGTACGTGTTATCCGAAATGTTTACCGTTAACTCCCATCAATTTTCGAACGCCGTTAACTTGTGTACATTCTCGAGAAATTTCCACTCGATACATCAAGTACCTCTGTAGAAATATAACCACGGTCTTAAAATCTTGCAAAGCAGAATCTTGGAAAAAAGTCAACCGATTAGATTACTTTATTCTTCGAAATGACCAGTCTTCACCTCTGACTCTTTATCGGGTCTTCGCGAGAAACGAAGTTATTTCAGACACTTGCGTTTAAGAAAAAGTATCGATAACGTATCCGTTACTGTCCATTACTCTGTAAATAAAACCTAGTTGCAAATTGCAGCGAATTAAATTTACGTGGCTGTTACAGGGAAATGGAGATAAATTCGAAAAGCTTGCTTGTTCATACTTGCGATTTATTTCTTTCTCCTCTTATATATATAATACAGATGTGCGAATAGAGCATGATATAAATAATGCACGTGTAAAAGAATGGAACGGGTGTTCGAGTACACACGAGTCGAGTCGAAGTATTAAAATACGTATCATTCCTAATTATTCCTATCGAATCCGTTACATGGAGTTATATAGAGCACCATCGTCTTGCGACTACGCTGCGTACATATCACAATCGTTGTGGCTGTAATCACCATGAATAAATGGAGTAGCAGAGTACGTTAGACCCAAGGGATTTCAGTAAAAATTCGCATCGTTCTGGCAGATGCCCGACTTGTCCCTGAACCTCCCCGGACCACAGTTCTCGATTCCTCCACCCAGCAATACCAGTTCTTGGGACTTGTTGACCAGTTCGTTTCCCTCGTTCGACTTCAAGGACGCGTCCTTCTCTTCCTTTTCGGACAGCTGCTTCTTCAGCGACATTCCCGGTCTGGTGGCTTTGGCAACCTCCTCCCTGACCGTCAGATCGTCCGATTGGGCGAGATTGTCCACCGTGGAGTACTTGATGTGCGTAGGGTTACCGTGATCCTCTCTTGGACCATTGACCAGTCCACGGCTTTCCTCGCTCCCCCCAAGGCTCCTCGTCTTCTTCTCCGAATTCCTCACGTCGATGGACACTTCCGGGTTTGGCTCCCCCTCCAAACTATTCAGAGGCGTTTCTATCTTGACCCTTCCCTCGCTGTTGACCTCAGAACTCCCTAATTTTTCAGGACGTTTACTTCTCGTCTTCTCTCCTTTCTCTAGGTGAACTATCTCGACGTGGTAAGGCTCTTTACCCTCGTATTTCTCTTCCGTCTCGTACACCATGGACCCTGATGATTCCTCGGAGTCCTCTGGCTCTTCGGCATCTTCCCTGGTGGGTTTCAAAGCGCTCATAGCGATGTTACTCACCGCCTACGGAATTATTTTTGGCATATGTATTAAGAGCATCCCTTTTTTTTTTCAGGTACAATGGAAAATCAAGGTACCGACCTCCTTCATAGTATGCGTGAACTTCCCGGAACCACCTCCGTCGATGACGAGGAAGATGAAGTTCTCGAGCGTTGCTTGCCAATTGTCGCGTTTGGCAGTCTGCTGTTGATCGTACCTGGCCGGCGCGGCCTCTGCCCACGGAATGAACGATCCAAGTAGCATGCCTGAGGAAGTATGAATTAAAACTTTATTAACGTAAATATTTCATTCTTCGTACCCCCTACGATTCATTTGGGCGATATAGTAATAGAATGTTGTCTATCAAGTGTTCCTGTACCTGACAGCAGAAGAAGAGACGCGTGAGGTACCATCTTGCCAATGCTTCCTGAGCTGCACCGAGCTGCACGAAGTCTGATCCTCGACTGTGGGAGATCGGTTCGCTTCCTTGGCAGCTCGTATATAGATCCAGGGAACATCACCGTTGGAGAGGGTAATAAACGCTTCCCGCCCGAGTGGCGATCGGCTAGAACGATCGGGAGAGCTTGCCCACCCGTCAACGACCGGTTAGATAATTGTTTGACATATTTTCACTCCTTTCCTCGGACGTCCAACGCTAGGGGATCTCTCTAAGCCGGAGATCTCGGGATCGATTACATCTAGGAAGCGTAATCCGTGGGACCTTCGAGGTTCCTTCGCTTGGATCATGATTCACTTCTAAGGAGGAGGACCAAATGCGGAAGCTTTTCAATGGGGTCTGAGAATTCTTTGTAAAAATGAGGAAAGTGGCATTTCTTAACTTCTTAATTAAACTAAGTATTAAGGGGGCCAGAAAGTAATGTCGTTACTTTTACATTAAATTCAGAGAAATAAATTTGTAAGAATCAATTGGTATACAGTGAGCTGATAAATGATATACAAATATTGATATTATTTTCTAGTCCCTTTTTATATTATATGAATAATGAACTGTAGAGAACTGACCATTTCTAGGCTCATTTTTACTAACACATCTAATTGGTTTCTTTTCAGATTCGAGACCTCTGAAAGGGAAACCAAAAATGGAGTCAATGCTATCTACTTAAATGCTGTTCGACAAGCCTCCAGTACCATTAAACCACAAGCCTTAAAATATACGTTAGAGGTGTTCAGACAGACCAGCAAACGATACAACTCATAGCTTTATTGCACCTCTGTTACAAGTTATACTATGTACAACGATAATTAGTCCATATGAGAATGTCCATATGAGAATGTAGGATGATGCGATGAAATGGCACATACGTAATTCTTCTTGTATTAGGTTGTCCCAGAAGTTTCTTTCGTGACTTGCACTCAGTTATTTTATATGGTTTATGTTATCTAAACACTCTAATTTCTTAGATGTTGTAACAGTAATGGAGCAACATGAATAGTACTCGATTCAATAATGTAATATCAGAGATCAAATATTGTATATGTATTACTTATATTAATGAAATGGAAGAAACTTTTGGGACAACCTAATACAATTGCGTATACGATTCCGTGCAGGCGTTCGCGTAAATAATTCATGGCACGTTTCAGTTCAAGCGCATCCAGTGAACTTCCTCCTGTTCCAGATTCTTCGCGCTGCGCGTCAAGTCGTTCAGAAGTTTTGGCGCCAGCTGCATCGCCAGACTGCGAAAGAAACAATCGGAAATGCTACCAATTTAACCTCTTTGGTTAAACAGAGATTGAATCGATTTCTAGATACACAAGAAATTTTAGACCCTGTCTCTGAACATTAAGGATCGATACTCACGGTATGAATGACAATCGTTGTTGTCCCAGTCGACGACAACGACCCTTCCCATCGGGCGAGTATCCAGATCGACACCGTCTCCTGGCCAGTCTCTTCATGAGATGATCCACGACCACTCCAGCGTTCTCTGGCGTCGGATCTTCGTCGCTCTCGAACGTGTTCCCAGTCTTGTCGTTGACCCTGGTCTTTAGGGTCCCGTTAATCGAATCGTCTGGTTTCTCCAACGACAAAGGCGCCGGAGTGTCATCCAAGGTCGAATTTCCGCTAGTTTCGGCAACTGGAGTCGAGTTCTCATCCGATAAATCCACCGTCGAGGTAGAATTATCGTTTTGAGGTTCGTCGGTTTCCAGACTCGAGTCCTCAACCGCGGAAACATTCGAGGATTCGCTTGGAGTAGAGTTCTGAACGGAATCGGATGGTGTCCCTGAGACATTAGCCTGTTGGGTTGTCGAAGAGGACACTGGAGTAGTAGACTCAGTCGTTGAGGAGGTACTAGTGGGTTTGACGATGGGTTTCAGCGTGAAATCGGCGTAGTCGTAGAAGTAGTCGTATTCCTGCAACCCACGATCGCGATATGCTTCATTAATCTAGAATCTGAGCATTAATATTAATTACTAGAGCATCTCGACAGCTATCCCCACCCTGAGGTAGCTCGCACACGACAAAACGCGTCTACCGCGACACAAACATGCCAGAAGAGCATCTCCTATACCTTCGCGCGGAAGATAAGAATCGTCGAGAATAATACTTTTCGTTATCGCGTTTTATCTGGTCTTATCGATCCTACTTAACCGCCAGACACTCGGAACCGTGGACGACGGTCGGCGTTACCGTGTAATCGTCGAGCAACTCCGTGTTCAGCACCGCCAGGACTTGCACGTCCTTCAGTTCGACCTGGACGTTCACGTTGCCTGTTTGTCGTTGATCGTAGCTCGCTGGCAGAGACAGACAGCCCGCCACGAGGTGAACCAGGACGAGGAGGACGCGACGTGGTAGCATGACGGCGGATCCGTACACCTTCCGCGGCGAGATATTGGAAAAATGAGCGAGGATCGTCGACAGGACTCACACTGAGCGGGTCCAGGTGAGAGGCGGTGTATCCACGATGCTCTTCCTTGATATAGTGGTCAGCACGCCTGAGAAACCGGTATTCTTTCTCGTCGAACGGTCACGGGTGCCTCGAGCGCACTGCCCGGACATTGGCCCCGTCGTGTACTGATATACATGGAGACACGCGTTTCTCGATGAATTCTGATTTAAATGCAATCACGACGCGAGGACAATTCGAATGAACCGTGAGAATTGAAGGATTCGTGGTGGACATGGGACATCATGTTCCTGGAGTTACGTTTCTTGGTGGTGAACAGAGAACCCGAACAGGGACTCGAATTGCTAATTAAACTCTGTACCTGAGACAGAAATTCTGTCACAGAAGTGATCATTGCTGCCTAAGAAGGATCCTCTGACGATCTGACATGGTCTCTGACATGATTCTGACTCTGGGTTCGTACGATGCTGGAGTTTGGATAATGGAGGAGGATTCAGCAAGTCCTTTAATACGGGAGCTCTGGGATTCAGTTTCGTGGTAGATCTTTCTCTTTCAAGAGGGATTCTAGGATCTTGTTTATTTAATGGAAGCTCTAGGATTGATGAGTATCGTGATAGATTTTCCTCTCTATATCCTGTAGAATATCGTTTTTTAATCGAACAGAAATGGTACAGTTATATATCTGATTTTGTTAGATATTAAAGAAAATCTAGATATAAAAGATATAAAAGAAAATCTAACAGCTTCTATTAAACGTCGAGTTCTCGCAAGCGCGCATCTCGAAGACATTCTTCTCCGTTGGAGAGGGGAGTCCCTGGCATTTGGCTCGTGCTTCAAACCTACTCAAACCTATTCGTAAATTCTCGTATAGATTCAGATTCATTGTTGAGGATAACAGAAAATCAATATTCCATCGATGTTTCCACCACCCTACGAAAATCCTCTAATTCCCAATATCCCTTCACCTTCACGATCTCTTACAAATTTCATTCGTAACATTCTCTGTTCAAATGGCAACGATCTAACGATTTGCAACCACGGGATGCACCGAGGCATTCCTCTCGATTACGAAACTGCTTAGAATAATCCTATTTCGTCAACACAGTGAATAATTTGACAACACGAATGATTTCAGCAACATAAATTGCAATTAAAACGAGCCAACATCGTCAGTGTTGCGATTCACGATCACTTTTTACCCGGGAAGAGTAAATCCGTAAATGTCAGAGAAATGTTCGGTCGAACCGAGGCAGCGATCCTGAACAGAGCGGCGATGACATTAATGACGATTCGGTGAAATGTCATGTGTCGTGTGTGTGCGCGCGATCGAGGAAGTTCATCGTGTCGTTTTCCTAATTCAGTGTTTAGCACCGTGCCCGAAAGGAGCTCGACGCATAAATTTTCGTTTCCGACAGGAAGAGATTGGCGTCAGCCTTTGAAACATTATTTCCACGTTCGATCATCACATAGCGTCGCTTATCATGTTTCGTTCTGACGTGAACAATGTTTCCATTTTTTAAGAAGTCTGGTAAATATTCCTCGCTCGTTTCTCGTCTGGTCCATTCATATCTCGTATATCAATAGAAATTCTTGTTGATTGCGTCGTACCTAACCTAAAGACGAAAATATTTATCCCTCTGTCAACCTCGAATTTTGCGTTTCGTACTCGTTGGCATGAACGATACACGATCAATCAAAATCGAATAACTCTTCGAGTTTATAAATTTTGACGATGTTTAATACGAAATTAAATGTAGAGAATAATTTTCGTTAATTTTAGGGCAAAGAGACAGTCCCAGATCTTTGCAAGCTTCTCCTACAAAGTCGACAAGTTCTGGGAAATCGTTTGGAGATGTCCTCAACGGCGGTTCGTTCGTTGGAACGCCAACAGGTACAGTGTACAGCCTTGAGGAAGAAGAGGAAAACGAAGTTATCAATGGGGAAACGAAAGAAATGTATTCCTTTGGCTCTCAGCTCTCTAAAACCCTCCCACAGATCCTTGCGGATAAAGGTGCTCTCGGTTATTTCATCCAGTTTATGGAGACACGTAACTGTATAGCGCTTATTAAATTCTGGCTCGAAGTGGAATGTTTGTATAGCTCGATCGGCATACAAGAAATTAATAGGAAAAATGTGGAATCTTCGAATATTGAAAATTCTAATAGACTCTCTAGTTCGGTGGATGATAACGAGAATTTTCATTGTAAAATAATGCAGGATACTGCAAATGATTGTGAAACTAAAAATACATTGATCAACGAGTATGTAAATAGTAACAATACAAAATCAAATTGCAACGACATGCCAAAGACTAGTCAAACGATAAGCAGAACGCGACAATCAAACTACACGTGCAAGAGACGCGACATGACGACCACTAGACAAGATGCTATAAGAATTTACAAGAAATATTTCGTTAAAGATGTCTTGGATACCAATCACATTCCGGAAGAGCTGAAGACAGAAACAGAGAAAGCTTTTGCTTGCGAAAATATTGAGCCTATGTTGCAGTGCCTACTATCTGTTCAAACAATCGTATACAAGATATTAGAGAATGAGTGAGTATGAGAGAGCCACGTGGAATAATTCTATGATCCTTTAGTGGAGTATGGAAGTTTAAAAATGGTGTTTTTATAGGCATATTAATGACTTCTTAAGAAGCGAATTCAATTGTAAACACCAGATTGATGTTCTTACCAGTGGTAATGTACAGCTAACAGACATATTGTACAACGAAACTGCGTTCTTTTATTTCATGGAGGTAACAATGTTGCGCGCATACTTAACAGCATTTTGAATTCTTACGATTAAAAGTCTTTGATCTTCCAGTTTTTAGAACTTGAAAACAAACGAGAATTACTGGATTTCTGGATGTCTGCTGTCAATTACAAACAAAACTTATTGGAAAAGGAGGATGCTACAGACCCCGAAGAAGCACAAACGGATGCTCTGATTATTTATGACAAGTATTTATTTTGAGAGATTCCTGGAAGTTTAATCAAAAATTTTTTTGATGAAAAAACTAATGCTATTTGCACAATTACAGATATTTTAGTTTACAAGCAACGATGCCTCTTGGATTTAGCGATAAAATTCGTTTCCAAGTGGAACAAAATATTTGCCACGAAGACGGAGAAGGACCACGACCCGACTGTTTCGATAAACCTTGTAAAATTGTATATAATTTCTTGAATAAGGTAACATTTGATATCAAAGATCAATATTGATACGACAATAGCACTGTGTTCAGATAACATTATATTTTTTCCAGCATTATCTACCCACTTTCTTATCATCGCAGTTGTATTACAAATACTTATCTGAATTAATCAATACTATACAAAGCAGTCCGTGTTCGAGTTTACATCCTAGGATAAAAAGAGCAGGTTTGTATACCGTTTAGTACGTCCTCCGCTATTAGTTATAATTGTCGTACTTAAAATTATCTAACAGCAATTATCTTGGCAATTTTAGGTTCCGATTGTAGTAGCGAGGTGAGTTCTGTTAGTATTAATATGCAAAATACCCTGCAGGCAGGGGGCGAAGGACATAGATCGGCCAATACCAAATCGAGTATTACCGGTGGAATGAACATCGATACTAGACAACTTTACGATCCGGATTCCTTATGGAGACGTAATAAATATAGGTAAATTTTCAAATAAATATCTTATCTAATAAAAATTGTTTCGATACACATTTCCTTTTCAGTTTGAGCGTCGGTTACGTCGATAATTTAGGCAGGTTCGTTACCGAAATAGAGCCAGATCCTCAGAAAAAATCTGGTAAGTTCTTTTAAGACGGAATCAAAAATAGAATCAAGATATTTGTTTATAAAAATGATTTTAGAGTCTCGATTAACGCGTGTTGTGAAGAGGCTTGTACATATGGAACAAGACAAGGTGAGTTTCATGGCACGTTTCTATAACTTTGTTTCGAATTGTAACAAAATGATATAATTAGGCGAAAGAAGAGTTAGCGTGGAAGATCGCCGAGATGATCGTTCGCGAGATCACGTCTTTGACTCTAGGAGCTTCGAATTTTTCGTCCTGATGGCAGACTCTACGTACGATGACATCAATTTCCTTTCTTTGTATAATATACTTCGCACTTTAAATGCTTAAAGGTAAATATTTTTTTTAAGTATGATTTTTTAAACGTTTACGGACCGATATCATATTTTGCCAAAGTGCCAAATCGAATAGAAACGAGACGAAATATTTTATTACATTTAAGAACGAAATTCAATCACCGACGGAAACGTTCGTCTGCACTTATAAATTTTTCGTACTTTTCATACCGATATTTTTGCGTCTTTTTCATAACGCACGAACGAAACCATGCATTTAAAAGTTGAGTCTACTATAAGATCACACTTATGATCAACGTAGAATTAACGAGCAAGGATGTATAAATCTTTTACATTTGAAACGGATATTTCACTGAAATTGACTTTTAGTTGCAAAAAATAAATTACATCGGTATAAATACGAAATTCTTCTGCTTCTTAAAAGCACAATAACGATCTGTATAAACGGAAACGATTTCATGCTTTTATTACTTTCGTGAGATTATACAAATATTCTTCTGTGTCGTAAGATATAATTGTACTGTCTTTTTATAGCAATGATATTAGGACGTACGGGCATATTGCTTTGCGTTCGTTATGCTGTGTTACTTTTTTAATCGTTCGACTGCCAAGTACTTTTGTAGCTCAGTAAGTTTTACGCTTTCTTCTTTAACAATTCTCGATGTTTTCTAACCTACAAAAAAAAAAAAAAAAGACTTAGAAACATATGTTTTACGTGTGACAACTAAAAGATTTATAACATATCGCGGAGGAATGTGATTTAGAATGTGGTTCACTGGTTTCGAAAGTTAACAAACGAAGTGCACTTTAGACGTATTAGATCGAGGATATGACGAAATCGTAAATATTCGTAATTTAGAATTCGTGTTAATATTCTGTTCACCTTCCTTGAAGTACTCAGACGTTAGATGTCAACTTTGCAGTATTTATTATAATTCACTATACAGGATCGCAAAAAGAAAAAAAAAGAAACGACAAATATTCATTTTGTTACTGTATAGTCAAAAGAATCTTTATATACGATCAGTCTTACATAGTTAGTACTATTAGGTAAAGTAATTTAGCTTTACGGAAAGATTATTTTATTAAAATTGAATCTATTTTTAAAAAGAAACTAACGATACATAGTATATTGAGAATACGATTTAAGTGATAACGTTTACACGTCGGACGTGACGAGTAGTCAGGTCCAATGGTGCACACACCGGTTCCTTTTTGCATGAACGCGAAAGAACTTGTGGCAACAGGTTATACAGTATTTTCGCGATCTATGCGAGTGAAACATTTTGCATACACTTAAGTATACTCTACATTCGAGTTTAACTTGCAATAAGCATGAATTCTGGATTATATCGTATAGTCTACGTATCGATATAGATCTTTTGGTGCTAACATAGAGAGAACTCGTTGCCCGAAAAATATAGTCTTCGTATTCATACGGATGTACATACGAATTTTTTTATCAAGAAGGGGAGGGATGTCGTACGAATAAAAATTTATTAATCAAAAATAATTGAGCGCATCTACGTGCACTATTTTCCGAGATATACGTACTTTTGTTTCAAAGGTGCTCCTTAGCAATAACGATGAAGATCAGCCGCTGAGTTGTCACGTTATCAAATCGAGGTATCAGTTATAAAAATTTGAATGCTTTGCGTCGAACATCTGTGATTTATTAATTGTAAAATCGCAGCGTAAGAAACATTAGATGTACAAAAATCCGTTATATCGATTAAATAATAGTACTGTATATAAGTGTTCTCCTTATACATGTAGAAAATAAAATCTCTTATATCTATAACAAGTAACAAACGTGCTTACACGGAAAAGCACCTCGAGTTAGAACGACAAATACTTCTTGCGTAAAGCTTTTCCACCGCGTACTAATCTCTCGAAGAATCTACGTTCAGATACATTCGTAAAGCGTTAAAAAAACAATTCGATGCATATATGTATATATACATGCAATGCTTATAAGTAAATATTAATGTCTAGCGTTATTCTTGTCAAACGTGTTCATATTGCAACGAACGATTGAGCGGGTTATAAAAATATAAACTTCCCTTAAGAACTTCGTAAGGCAGTAAAAGGCTGACGCGTTAATAAATTTATAACTTTAAAACGACGAAGATCCGTTTATGCTCGTATGCGGCGGGCAGCCATATTTTGGATTTAACAGTGGCGACGATTCGGTTAATCGCATACCCGTGTTTCCTTTTCCGATTTGACTTATGTTAAAACTCCCCAACATTTGGCAACATTCGAGTCGAAATTTTTCCGTTTTGCCCCATCGTTTGTATACCAATGCATTAAAGAACGCTTGCAGAGGATTTGTAACAGCCTGCGAATGGAATGTTCAATAATACGTGCTTTGAATTTACTATGTTAATGCTGTAAGATATACATACCATTATATACCATAGGGTGATGATAGCTTTAATCGGTAATTGGAACCATAAAGTCCATAGTAATATTCCGTTGATTAAATTCGGTAACCAACACAAGTAATATACAACGTTAGTCAACGCGAATTTCAGTTTTATGGTCTGCACCAGTTTCCTTTCTCTGCCCGTTATTTGCGCCAAACTACAACTAACGGCTGTTTGAAGGTCACGCGTTGAAGCGAAGTACAATACGGGATTTACTATCATTACCACTGTTAATAGTACATAAGTAGCACAATAGTTTGGCAGAATACGTAATATGGCAGTGGACAGAGATGTTAAATTGTGGCAGCTGGAAGAGTAATTATATAAGTCAAATAAATTTGTACAAAATGATTGCTATTGTCAAGTTAAGGGTACCAACTTTGCATTTGGTATGTACAAGATTGCCAAACCAAATGTGGTCAGAATTGCTGGACATATCCATGCAAAGGCATGGTAGCATGTAGGATGTCCAGATCGATCACCAAGGAGGAGTTTCATGTCTATTGCATAGCACAGTGTCCAGATCCATGTTGCCATGTAAAAGTATTGTGTCCAGGCCTGGAAATGCATGTATCGAATGCATTAACATATCAAAAGATATAGTAATTGGAATTTAATATTTAATATAATTATATTACCGATGAAAGAGCACAGAAGACAACACTGGAAGTATCGTCTTCCATTGGCATTATAGACTTGAAATTCATCCAGAGAGCAGATCTAATAAATACACCTAAAAGACAATGAAAATCAGGAATAAGATACTGTAGATATTCAGAATTAGAGTGACTATTTAAAGAGAGTATATAAAAAATAGTATGTAAGAGTCACCTAGGGATGCCAAGAGGTCAGCAGTTGCGAGCCACATAATGATCTCTCTCCCTCTAGAAGAAGAAAAGCTTTGCCATCGGTGAGGAAGACTAGACGTTTCCCTTGGTAGTATCTGCAAAAGAACTTTCCTAGTCTGTCGGTGCGATGATTGGACATATTAAAATTTCACTTACTTGATAAACTGCACCTAGGATGCCTATAGCAGAAGAGAGCATGCACACCGAGTTGTATGCATCCGTGTTAAATTCTTGCATTATCACGATTGCCATATCCGTTCTGTTAGAATGATGACAACAGAACGTTTGTATTGTCGGATCGGCCATATTATGTTTGATTTTGATTTCTCGAGCATTGATCGAAGGGACGATAAGAAAAACCTATTGGCGATAAGATATTGCTCGTTTCTTAAATTGTTTTGCGTATTAGATCGCGTCATATAAATCGAAGCTATTCTCCATCGATCGAACGTTGGTTTTACGAAAACTCTGTAAAGAATCAATCAAGTCTTGTACATTTTTATTTTAAAACGAAACCGTACGAAACGTTTGATCGACAGATCGGCCTCGACGCCATGCCTTTCGCTTTAATCAGCTTTAAAAAAATGTTTCTTGTACATAGAGTACTACAGAGTTGAAACTCCAGTATCTTTTAGGTCTCGGTACTGTACATGAATCTATAATCTTTCGTCCGTGATAATACTGCATTGTTCTTTATTTAAATGCATCTTCTAGAAATATCTGAAATCATCTGAAACAGTTGAATTCGAAAGCTGCAAGAACAGTTTTACAACATTTTCGTAGGGGTTTTAGATTGAAGTTGATGCAGTGATGGACAAAATCAGGCAAAACCTTAGGCATTGAATAAATTCGTCTCGTTTCCTCTTTTCAATGTTTTCCACAATTTTCCAAAATAGGAGACGAGAGAAACACATTGGCTTTGAGATTTATTCGAAGCCTAGGTTTCTGTCCATCAATTTAGTTTTGTAACCAATACGATTCTCAGCAATTATGCAATCGAGTTAGATATCATGCTGTTGGTGTTGAAAAATTAAAGGTTGACTGTCTAGCTTCTTTATCATGTTTATGCTCGTTGTAGAAAGCGCGGTCTGTTTTGATTTGAACTTTGAAGCCCTCTATACGCGTTTACCGGCTTTGCTCTTACATTTGGCGGGATCTTACTTGATCGTTCTCGTCAGTAAAGGCTAGTCGCGAACACTGTGCATTCGTGTTTTGTTTCTTTTCTTTATATTTCAATTTGTTGTTCAGTGGACAGGTGTGACAGAATTGATTTAAGTTGTTTATATAGAAAATGGAGAAGGAAAATATAGATGTCACGGGGAATTTGTCTAATGGCACGAGTTTAATCGCAGGTGAATATCTCTATTTCATTAAAGAGAATTTGATTTAGTACTAATTTTACAAACTTATTTAGATTAACATTCGTTTAATACACGTTTCTTTGAAAAAATGGAAGAATTACACGCTGGCTTGAATTGATAACGGAAATTAATATGAAAGTATTTTCATTGTTTGTTGTGCTTAATAGGAATATGTAGTTATTTCTTTACGAATTTGTTTGTAATCCAAGTTATGATTGTCTTTAAATGACCTCAAAGTAACCTGTTTCTGTGACATTGACAATCAGTACGAGATAAAACAAATGCGCATGCACACATGCACGTGCGCGTTAATTGAAAATCAGACCGATAGTTCATCCTTCAAATCCTTCTTTATCGAATTTTTTAGTCCTTTTTAATCATTTAATTACGAAAAACATTAACATAATGATTTGAGTTCCACATTAATTATAACATTCCTAGCATGGTGCACATTAAATTAGTAATTATGATGGGTATTTCTGAATTTTTTGATTTTCTTTTTTGGCTATGGAAAGGTAATCCAAAGAATCTTGCGGATGATGTAGTATTCAGTAGTGAGCCATTGAAAGAAAATGTACAGGAAGTGAAAAGAAGGAAAAGACAAATTGAATCGGAAAGTAAACAAATAAGAGAGGAAAAGTACAATAGAGAATTACAAGAACAACAATATAAACGATTAATGCATTTATTGAACAGAAGTAAATTTTATTCTTCATATATTGTTAATAAAATTAATGATACTACCAAGAATAGCGATAAAAATGTTAATAAAAGACATATGAAAGAGGCTGGTGCTGCTGCTGGTGTTTCACCAGAGGCAAAAGATAAAAGGAGGATCTATAAACAAAATTATATATCAGTAGATGTAAGAATACTCATGTTGTAATTTTTATGTAACTTGTACAATGTTTTTCTTTCTAACAGTTAACATATTCGCTAGGTGCAAAGGAAAATAGTTTCAAAGCAACATAGATTGAATTCTTATGACGAGAGCCTTGAGTCTGAATTGATTATAGATTCCAAAAATGATAAACAAGAAGCTTGCAATACTGCTATAGAGACACCAAAGTTTTTCAATGGGGTTTTAAGAGATTATCAAAAAGAAGGATTGCAATGGCTGCAGGTGCTGTATGAGAATGGTATAAATGGTATTTTAGCTGATGAGATGGGTCTGGGGAAAACGATACAAGTGATAGCTTTGATATGTCACCTGATTGAAAAACAGCAGGATGGCCCTTATTTAATAATTGCACCTCTTTCAACTATACCAAATTGGATGATCGAATTTGAAAGATTTGCTCCAAAGTTACCTGTCTTCCTACTCCATGGTACAATAGATCAAAGATACTCTATAATAAAAAAAATTAAACAAAAGTATAAAATCACAAATACTTATAGTACTATGCCAATTGTGCTCACTAGTTTTGAGATGCCACTAACTGAAAAAAATTTTATGAGATCTTTACATTGGAGGTATATAATAGTCGACGAAGGTCACAGAATCAAAAACCACGAATGTCAACTTGTCGCGTAAGTTTATTAAAATTAAAAGTCTAAAATATTTTAAACGATATTCACAATTTTTGTTTATAATTTGTTGTTGTAAAACAGGTTGTTGAAGCAATGCAAATCGATGAATCGACTTTTGCTAACCGGCACACCGCTACAGAACAATTTAGCGGAACTGTGGTCGCTGTTAAATTTTCTATTGCCCGAAATATTCGACGATCTAGCTGTATTTGAATCGTGGTTCGATGCTAAGGAACTCGAATACGACGAAGGAACAAAAAAATTTTTGAAACAAGAAGAAGAGAAGCACGTACTATCGTCGTTGCGTGAGATATTGCAACCGTTTATGTTGAGGCGCGAAAAATCAGACGTTTGTTTAGATGTTCCGGCAAAGAAGGAATTGATCGTCTACGCTCCGCTCACAGTACTCCAACACGATTTATATAAGGCGGTATTAAATCGCGATATAGAGAAATTGAGTTTAATGGACAATTCGCCAATTATATACACAGAGGATGGTAAACGACCAAAAAGAAGATGTACCATGAGGAATGTATTTAACACCAATCTTTCAGGCTACGCTTATGATTTGGTTCAGGAAATCGACGAAAGTATAGATAACGAATTCTGGAGAAAACAGAAGCCTGTGGATAAGTCACATTTGACTGCTTGGAAACAATACACTGATGTCACAGATCGCAATCGAGATTATTTACTTAATATTAAATCTGGTAATAGAGGTAAGTCACTCTCTTGTAGAAAGTATCAACTGTTACAATATTTCATTGCTACATCGACATCCTTTTGTTTCAGTGGCAATGTACAAAAAAATTGTGAATCACCCGTATTTAGTTCACTGTCCGTTGGATCCGAGTGGTTTACCGAAAATAGACGATGATTTGATTAAGTCGTCTGGTAAGCTTTTAGTATTAGACGCGATGCTTGCAAAGCTTAAAGAGCAGGGACATAAAGTTTTGTTGTTCTCCACTATGACAATGGTATTGGATGTGATAGAAGATTACCTTTCACTGCGTGATTATGATTACGTCAGATTGGATGGTAACACTCCGCTTGAAGTGCGAAAGGAAAACATTAAGAATTTCACTACGAACCCTGATTTATTCTTGTTCCTTATATCTACAAGAGCAGGCGGAGTCGGATTGAATCTTGCTTCAGCGGATACAGTTATTATGTATGACTGTGATTGGGTATGTTACTTTTGACATGTATACTTCGTAATAATTACTAGTTAAGAATTACTAAATCCATTTATAGAATCCGCAAATGGATATACAAGCTATGGCCCGTTGCCACAGAATTGGACAGGTTCGACCCGTGGTTGTGTATAAGTTATGCGTTAAAGGGACAATCGATGAATCGATCATTACTCGCGGGGAAAAGAAACGTTTTCTAGAGAAAGCGGTAATTTCTAAGATCGATAAAATCTCCGTATTCGATAAGGAATCATTACTAAGATTAAAGGAGCTTTTGGAGTCAAAAGAATGTCAAGTAGTCGCGGCTGAAAATCAAGGTAAATCGTAAAACAGGTTTTCGTAACAATTTAACGTAAAAAAAAAAACACGTGTAGTTTGGATAATCTAATAATCCCTGATGCAGTTTTTACAGAAGAAGAACTTAACAAATTGTTAGACAGAAGTGACTTGTATGAGAAATAGCATAAGACGCCTTAAGTAGCCTAAATTTTCTCGAAAAGGATTTCGTAAAAAGAATACGGACGAAAATTATTTCATAATATTTATTTTTTGTACCTGATGAGTAACCAAGAGAGCAACAGAGATTGACTCCTTGTTAACTCCAAACTTCTGTAACGTTTTTTTGATAAAATGTAAGTAAGAATTATACTATAATTAACTCACCATTAGTAAGGAATTGTTTCCGTGAATATGTTGCGAGGAAAATAAAATAAATAATAAAGACTGAATCAGCTTTAGAGCTTCCAGATTTCAGATTTTTATATTAAAGTGTATGTACACGAGTCGTTTATAATTGCTATATGCGAAGTATATTAATTTGTTTCTGCTGCTTCTTCTTCTTCTTCTTTTAGTTTCTTTATGTGTCTTTCCCATTTAGGTATTTTCGCTTCTGGATATTTCTCGGTCAGGAAGCTGCACAGTTCTCCGTATTCGGCTCTTAACCTTATTTTTACTTTGTCCTGATCCTTGCTACGTTCTTTTTTACGCAGATAAATATCGTACGAAGGTAGCTTTGTGAAAAACGGAGGAGGCTTCTTCTTGTTTAAAATCAACCGTCCGTTCATTAGGTACTGCTTGAAATCTAAAATCTCGTCACTCGCGATCTCTGCCGGTGTCCTCACCGTTTCCGGTGACGCGAGTACCTCGGGAAAATAATCGTGTTCCTTCTTAAATTGAACTACGTGCAATTTCTTTTCATCTGCCATCTCTTGATACGATTTCTAAAACATTATAGTTAATATTCATGATGTATCGTACAATTCGAAAATTGCAGTGACGATGGACGATCGCGATAAACATACCTGATTTAACATGCCAATGAAGAAAGCCTTTATAACGTTCGGAACATTCACAGACCCCTCGATCTTGGCGTGCAGATTTTTTATGCCAATTGCCTCGCAACACGCTGCGATAACGCGATGACATCTGAGTCCGTAACCCTTAGGCATTTGTTTGGCAAATATTTTCGTCCTTCCAAACTCAGCGTAAAAATCGTGTAGTACTGAAAGGAAAAGGTTTTCAATCGCGTGTATTTTTACAGCTAGGATTAATACGATGAAAATTGTTTACTCGTGTGGTTGTCGTATCTTTCGAAATACATCAATCTCTGTCCAGCTTTGTTTCTAGCTAGTGTGAGGGCTCCTTTAGTGTCGCCTCTTAGCGCCGTAGCAAACCCTGCCAAACCATTTCCATTCCCAGTTACGGCATAGACGGTAATTCGCTTTTTGCGGCCGAACGTACCCGTCATTATGGCGCACTGATGGAAATGTAACACCCATGTTTGAAAACCGACGAAAGGTTCTAAAATTTCAGGATATACAAAAAACTGTAATTATTTTTATTTCTACCATACTTTGTACACGTTTTAGGTACTATGTATATACAAATATCGGAATGCCAACCTTCGTCGATAGGATCAGGTGGTCCAAGTTTCCTTCCACCCATTATACCTCCGCTCCAGCCACGATCCAAAGGTGAAACCTTATTCCGTTTAAAAGGTGAAAGCTGTATTTTAGGTATCTGTGATTCCTCTTCAGAGTTTGGATGTTTGGGAACTCTATTTGGATTGTTCAACTGATTTCCTTGGAGGAGGGGAGAATTAAGTCCTGGGAATATCATTGCTTCCTTTCCAACTCCTATAATTTGGCCCTTATTCAAGTTTTTTATTCTCGGTACACCCTTGCCTCTGCCTCGTTTTTTTCCAGCATTACTGACACTGGTGACGGATTTCCACAGCGCGCTGGCTGGTTCTAAACGGCAAGCAAGTTTGAGTTAGCAAGAGCTTAATCCAGGACCTTTAAATTACTTACGAAACAGATTAATGGAACTTACTTCTGTTGAAGAAATTGATATTCCTTGCATCTTGGACTAGTGGAACGCTCGGCTTCAACAGACCAACAGCTAGAGCTGAAAGTAATTCACACTGTAATTATTAATTCATGATTGAATTAATTCGCAATTGGTTAAGAGTTTGAGGTTACGAAAATGAAAACAAAATGCCACGAGTTTGATAATACGATAACAGAACTGCATCGAAGTACCATTGTTCCTAATGATGGAACTTTTCGCACAGTTCGATATTAAATCGCAAACACGTAAAATTCGATGCGCCATTTCGAAAGCATAAAATCGGCCAGAGCGTTCCCCGTGCAGCTCCGTGATAAGATGCTCTCCGAATGAAATACCAAAGGAGGAAACGCTTTGGGATAGTCGATCGTTCGGAAGATTTCCTACAGATGTCGTAAAGCGTCGCGTTTTGTAGTCGTTAGGTAGTTAGTCGACCTCAGGAGCTGTAGCTATTCCTGACGGTAGCTACAGTACGGGTGTAGCGATCCCGAGGTACCCGAGCATTTTAGGGGCCCAGTGTGATAAGAGATAAAAGGCAGAGACAAAGAAATGTAGTTATCGTAAGAAATTAAAGATATATAAGACCGTATAACTTCTAGCTACAGAAGCTCGAAGTCGAGGAGGGATGCAAAGTAAAATATCGTAACGTAAAAACTGCGATACATCGAAGAGCGTTGTAACCAGAGTTATGTTCTCCGCGCTGCGATAAAAAAAGAAGCATGGAATCGAGCGACATCGGTGTTCGGCGGCCGCAGTTGACGTTTGGCGAAGGGCGCGATAAGATGGTCGGTAAGGTCGCGGAGCAGGGCGCGTGTACCTACGGAGAAGTCGCAAAGGACAAAGCGCCAGAATCGAAGAGGGGGAAAAGAGGAGAGAGAGAGAGTGTCGGGCAGGAAGGGTGGCAGCAACCTCGACGACGAAGGTGGGCCGTTCCGAGCACGGGTGGCCATGAAACGCCGATAGACGAGGCGGGCGCGGTGGTCCTCCGCAGGGAGCCGGGGTTCAGCGGCGCGATAGGCGGACGCGTTTCAGGAGGTACGCGGGAGAGCTCGCCAACGGTGTAGCGACGGTGGTGCAGCGAATGAAAGCGTCGAAGGTCTGCTATTGGCCGAGCTCGTCCAATGGCAGGATGGTTAGGTCTGGCCAGGGTCTGGCTGGGGGTCGGTTAGGTAGCCCCGCGATCCCCTCTAGTCGACCGAGTGGGAGCCCTTCTCTCACACGCAAAAGGGGACATCTCATCACGACTCTTGGTAGCAGGCACTTCTCCGTAGTGGGCACTCCACTCATCGTGTCGTCGTACGGGTTCTCCGCGAGAGGCTGTGGGGCCCGAGCCCGGACGAGCGAGCGAGCGAGCGAGCGAGCGAGCGCGACCGGCCGAGCCGCTGGTCGAGTGGGTCTAAGCGGCCGTGAGGACCTCTCCAGGAGTACCCGACAGTCCTCTCCATTCATTCATCCATCCATCCATCCATCCATCCATCCATCTATCCAGCCAGCGAGCCAGTCAGCCAGCCATCCATAGACGCGCTCTCCTCTCCTACGAAGAGAGAGTGTATCCTCGACGAAGGTGGAGGCGAACCCGTAGAGTGGTACATCTACCATCGTCTCTCTATCGGCAGAGTCCAAGGACTCGAAGACCCCCCGGGTGATTTCAGTCGGCCGCCGGCCGGCTCTGGCCGGCCACTATCCTCGACCACGTGTGTGCCATCGTTCTTCCCATCGTGTCGTGTCAGTTTCGGTGCCGTGACGTGACGTGTGATCTACCTGCCGGGCGAAAGCCTCCTTCGTCCTCCGAGGGTCGAGCGACTGCTCGTCCGGTGCGCGCGAGACCCTTCGCCAAGGAGACTCGTCGCTGCCACCACGCGGCGGACGCACATCGAACCGTGCTCTCCTCTCCGTTGTTACATTCGCGAACGGCGATCTTAGAAGCCGAGGGACGCTCGCTGGTTGTCCTTGACCATCGACCAGGTGGTGTGCTCCAGCCCTCTCGCGTGTCGAGCGTCGAGCAAGTGCCCTCTTCGAACGGAGAAATGCGCCGGACGACGCGGTGTTGTCGTCGCTGGACGCGTCCAGCACCGGGTATAGAGAAGATGGACGCTACTCGCGAACTTTATCGTATCGGTTGACTCCCAGTGATATCCAAAGAATCCAACGGGAACCAGTGTAATATCGTGCAGTTAGAGGATTATTCGGTGTGAATGATCAAAGTGCGACTGTGAACCCTCCGAACCGTGCAAAGTGATCGGTTAACGCGAGACTTTGGCATCCCTGATCAAATAAAAAAAAAAAGAAAAAAAGAAAAAAAGAAAAAAAAAGAAAGAAAGGAAAGAAAGGAAGGAATTGATTCCACGGATCGTCTGACGGACGCCGCGTCCGAGATATTCGAAACAACGTCGAGGTCCGCGCGTCTGGCAGCGGTGGCAGGTTCGTCATGTCGTTTTCTCGCGGTTAGCGCCGGCCTCAGGATTCCGCGAAGCGCGAGCTTCAAGTACTTCGACGGCGCTGGCCTTGCCGAGATGAGCGGTGGCAACGGCGGCGGCGGAGGCGGCGGAAACAACGCCGGGAACCAAGGAAACGGTAATGCCACCAGCTACCACCAGCATCAACAGCAACAGCAACAACAACAACAACAACAACAACAACAACACACTCAGCTGGAGCAGGCAAGCTTGCTGCCGGACGATCTAAACGGTATTGACCTGGCGGTGAACCTGTCGCCCAAACAGCACTCGTCCCACGTACAAGCGGCTGGCGGCGCTCATACTATACCGTTCAGTGTCAACAGCATCCTGTCCCCGAACGACGAATCGTACAGGAAGCTCGGTCAGGAAATCGGCGTCGGCGTGGTCACGCATCCTCAGGTCTCGCCTTACGGGAACGCGTGCGGCGCCCGAGTGGGCGGCAATACCGGTAGCTTGAGTGCGAGCAGCGGCAGTCCACCGCTTCACGGAGGCTCGACGCCCGGTGGCGGCACTCCCGGACCGGTTTCCGGTGCCAACGACGCCGCCGGCCCCGGCATGACCGCCATGGGGAATCCTTACGCTACCATGCAGCTCACCTCTCAGTATCAGTATTGCGCCGCGGAGCTGTCCCCTTATCACCACGCGGGATCAGGGGTCGCGGGAGGTGCCACCGCCACCGATCCCATGAGGTCTCATCATCCCTGGTACGCGCCCGCCCCGCCGGCCACCAACGACCCCCGCTTTGCCAGTGAGTATGCTTTTCCTCCTTCTATTCTCTCCAACTTCTCTACTAACATGCCACGGTCGCACCGTGAAACACCGTCGCTCTAATTCCGTTCACTTCGCGTTATTGTTATTCTTCGAGTTCCGCGATTCGTGAAAGACGAGATGTATTCGAGGACCGACGTATTCTTGGTAACCGAAGCTCGAAGATGTGGTTGTAGCTTCTTCTCGTGGTCCAGTGACACCGCTGCACGATGCGTACCGAGTCTAGTTTTTAGAAGATTGGGATAGCCTGGTCGACGTAGGTTGTAAATGTAAGAATTACGCTGGTCAGCGGTTTTTGGCGGCCACACGAGCGTTGTCGCTTTTTTGTTTAGAATGTTTAGCGGAGTGTCGGGTCATCGACAACCGGCGACGAACAGTCAAGTCGCCCGGCAGATTTAGCGAGAGTCGGTCGTTCGGAATAAAAGTAATATCGACAGAGATTTATGTTATAGTTCTATGTTACGAATAACAAGGAATGTACTGGGCGTTCGGGTCAACGATTACAAGTTCTCGTTGTTACGTTAAATTCCGGTCTTGTAGGATCATCAAACGTAAAAAATGGAAAATAGAAAAAAGAAACATAGAAAGTAACGCGTTTCTATCTCCGTAATACTCCATTTTCGTGAAGACCTTGTACCATTTCGTGAATCGTCTTTTAAAAACTTCCAACAACCCCACACAAGGCATCATCAACGTTCCGTCGCAGTCTGTCGCTCACCGATAACGCGTCGGTTAGTCTGTACTCTTAACCTTTGGCGATGATCTGGCTGATTTTTATTGCCGGAACGTCCAACGCGAAGCGTAACCATCCAGAAGCTAGAAAAAGGGGAAAGCTTGGAACGCGTCGTGCAAATACGTTTCGTCTTCGAATACTCTCCTCGCGATCATCCCTTTCGCCTTCGACGGGGCACGTCTGTCCCGCTTTTATCGGAGTCGTATCTTATCCGGTGCTTACGTCCATTTAGGTATCGATGAAGTGGCCAGGCTCGTGTTTCAAAGTCCACCAACAGGGTGTCCTTTCGTGTCGTTGCCTCGTAACATGGACTCAGGGATCCCCCCGTCGCGTATCCGAATTCTTCTCGATCCTCCTCTTGTCGCGCTTCCCGATACAGCTTACGTCCTACCACGGAATTTTTCGACCGTTAGTACTTTGGATATCGTTCCAAAAGGCACCCCTGGCCAATTGATACGAAATTTGGAGGATGCTGTGGAAGGACACCGAGTATAAAATGTCAACTTCGGAAATTCACGGGTTTAAAAGATACAGATACTTTAGAGGAGACTGTTCATTCGCTGTGATCGTTTGCTTCGAACATGTCGTATTGTTTTACAAATTTTCTCATCTTTTTATCTTAATCTTACATTGTCGCTGAATATATCGTCCAAAGTGCCGAAGAATTATTATGACGGATTTAGAATTGAAAACCTGTATCTCTTAAACCTGTACAAAATTGCCGAAGCTGAAATTAGAATATCTGGGATCCTTTTGTATCCCTCGCAATACCCACCAAGTTTCATCTCGATCGTCCACCGTTCCCGGAAGTGCCTTTCTTTAGACGCGACTCCTGGAAAAGGTACAAGCTGGATACATCGAGTGATAGCAACGATATCCACCGCGAGTGGAGGCCTTCTCCATGTTGAACATCCTCTAGTCGTCCTCTTCTCACTTCTACCTCGCTCGAACAACGCATTACGCCTTCTGCTAATTGCACACGGTCCACCTAGGTCCTAGCATGTAATTCTTGGACCTTTTCTACTCGTAGAATACTTTCGTCGCACGTAGCCCATCAAAAAGTATCCTCTTCGACTCCTCCTCGTCGCTTCCTCCACCTTGAATTCTTCCGCTTCCCTCATTTCTTCATCCAACCCAGTCTTCGTCAATCCCAGTCGAATACGCGACGCTTCTACTCCGAGGCGTACTTTTATTTCGTACAGCGAGAACCTATCCTCCCGAAAGAAGATCGCGGGGCCAACAAAAGCGCGTCCTACGGACTTGTGTCAACAGACGTACGTTTCCTTGGATTTCTGTCCGTCGCACGCGCCACTCCGGCCACCACCGGAGACGTATCGATCCCCTCGGCTTGAGAACGCGTGGCTACCGGACACCACGGGAGATTTTAGTTAAACAAATAAGCCTGGACCCTCGTCGCGCTGGCTCGACTCGACGACGGTGGCCCGGACCCGATTTACGAGGAGATCGAAGTATTCCTACGGGTTCGAACACCGGGAGAAACGAATTGCGGCGGTCTGTCGTTCGCGAGCGCTCTGCTTTGGTATTCGTATTTACACGGTACCGTTGCGTCGAATCTTTAACGTTTAACGTCGCTGTGCATTAGTTTCACCCTTTATTTACTGTCGGGACTTACGAGTTCAGTTTTTAATTATTTGGTGGCAGGAGAAGCTTTTTTCCTTTTGAGAGATAATTTGTATAAGTTGATGTCTAGAATTTTAAAAGCTTTCGAGAAATTCATAGTAAGTAAAGGGTTAGTTGGATGAAGGCTTCCGAGGGGTGTCAGGGCTTCCTCTTTATCGCGAGATGTCCATCAGGCTCGCTACACCACCACCCATGTTACCATCTTCTGTTTAGTTGGACGATGTCGCAGGACGCGTCATCGAGACACTAACGGGCATGTAGGATCGATTCCTCCCCTAATCATATCTTTCTGGCTTAACCCTGCTCGTCTACTTCGAGTCGTTGAAAGGCCACGGAATAAAACGCGTAGATGTTTCTCGATCGTAGAGACAATGTCTGGCCCTCGTAAGTCCACGAAACACCAGCGGCACGCAAAAGTTTGTCTATGGCCGGTCATTGTTCGCCGCCGGTGGCCCAGACGCGCCAAAACGTCGATTTGCCTAACGAGATAGGCCCTAACGAGGTTAGGTCTTCGTCCCGATACGCCCTCGCGTTCGCACAAGTTGGAATCGTCGAATGCCTTCCATTGTCTGAAAGACAAGAAAGGCGGGGGAGACGATTCGTCGATGACTAGGAAATTGGCCCGACACTCGAGGTCGAAGGTCGCGGGGGCTCGTTGCAGGTATCGGGGAGCCAATTGCATCTTGATTCAGAGGGGATGTTGTAGGTGGATGTAGTAGGGGTATGTACATGGGGGCAGCAAGAATTTGAAGGAATTCGTTGTTTTGACATTAGACAGAGGTCAGTGAGAGATCCAGGTACTCTTTGCTTTAGGTCCAGGATTTCCAAGCTTTCTAAAACCGTTCTTCTAAATCACCTACTTATTAGATCACGTTCAACTTTGTTTCACGTTGGTTTTGTAAGTTGGTTAGACCATCGCGAGCCTCTCTATTTCAGAGCGATGGTATCCCAATGGTCCAGGATTTCCAAGCTCCCTAAAACTGTTCTTCTAAATCATTCTGTTCTTCACCTATTCTCTTCCAACCAAAGTCACTTTCGTTTAACCTTCGCTCCTGCTGCCTGCAGTGGTCGTCTCCACCACCCATCCACCATCTATCCACCCACCTATCCACAACCTAGTAACCGGTACACATCGAGGAGGCCCTAATCGTTATCGTTTTTATCAGTTTCACCGGTCTGCTCGTCTCCAGCGGCGTGCGTAAACAAATTCGGCAGTGTTTGCTCCCGGTGTCTCGAGTGGTATGTCTTTCTCGCGGCGGGACTGGGCTGACAGGGGCCTCGGGAGGAGTGCGTTCTCACAGACATAATAATAATTCGGTACCTCGGTCGTTCGGACCTCCCGTGCTCGATGACGTAGCACTTTCGCGCGGCTAAATCGCTCCTTTTGTCCGGGACCGTTCTTGACAGCCCTTCGCCAACTGACAAGGGATGGACTGCTCGTTGGGTTTCAGTAGCTCGAATTCAGAGGCACGATTGTCCGTCCCTCTCGCTGCCATCTCGGGATCGCGTCACCATTTCACTTTTCACGGTTGTCTCCTCTGGAAATTATTTTAAACGGCCGCGGCCGGAGGAACGCGGTCTTCGTGGCGCGAGAAGGGCGTACGAGGGCGGGGATTATTGTAATTAACGTTACCGCGATGTTTTTGTTGCGTTAAGTATGGGGTATTGTATATTGCTCGAGAGTTGGCGAGACACCTACGAACCGAACGGAACAGAGACGAAGGAAATTTCGCCTTTGGCCCTTTCTTTCGAGCAGTCGCACTGTATCGTAATCACGCTCTCGAACTCTTTCATTTTTTTTTTTACGTATATCCACGGCGATAGTTTATTCCTCGCCAACTCCCGTGCAACGAACTGTAGTTGGATAGGGTACGTTGAAGTCGAGGGAGGAGGGAGTCGAGGGTTAGGTCATCTTAGGTGGTTAGGGTACATTTATCCCAAAAACAATAATTTCCGAGATATTCAACCACAAATGTATTGCAGTCGCTTGTTCGTCTCCGCCCTCGGATGAAAACAACCAGTGGTGCATTGACGCTGCTTTAGAAGCTGAATACCTCGGTAACTATTAGTTTTAGGATAAACATACCTTAGTTTCAATACATTTAGTTCGAAAACTCGTTGATCCGTCAAATCTTACCATTGATCTAACCCTCGGTTGGACATCTTGAAAACTATCATACTTTTTCCCGTAATACAAACTAGCAGAGACGCGTCCAAGTGGCTCGCTTCTACCGAGACGTAGAAACGGCGACAAACGTCATTGCTTCATTCGTTCTTCTCTTTAATCGTTTAAAGAATCATCGGCGCAGAAATTTTTGCCAAAGTATCGAGTTGTCCCAAAAGTTTCTCTCGATTTATTAACAAACAATGCACGCACGATATTTTATGTTACATTACCGAATTGTGTAGGATCCATTACCGTGTACAGGGCCGGCGCGACCTTTCGCGTTAAAATCCTACACTCGACATTTCGCAACGAGAAATATAAATAACAATACTTCGACGATTTTGGTCGGTCTTTCGTACCGAATCATCGCTGCTAAAAAAAAAATGTCTTGCATCTGTCGATGATATCCTCATTCTACGAAAAGTTAACAAAAATCGGTGTTCTTTAATTAGGTAATTTTCGTAGACCTCGGTGCTTTTAAAACGGTGGAGCCGGGTTGAATCTACTTTGCGCCGGTCCTGGCCGCGTGACGTCAACTTCCGACGCCGATCGCACGCGGCGCAACCGATTTGAAATTAGTGTTTCGAACCTGTTTGCGTTCTTTATTTTATCTGCTCCACTGTCTTTGTTTCACCTAGATCCGCGGTCGCGTGCAACTAGTTTCGGAGTGGTTTGAAACTGGTTCGGTTGCGCCGTGTGCGATCGGCCTGAGAGATTCGGTTCCCCGTTTCTATGAAACACCGGCGCAGAAAATAACTCGAGCGCAAAAAGTCGCGAAAGAAACTTTTGGGACAATCTGAAAGACATGCTTATAAACTAAGGAAAAGAGAGTTACTATCCCTGGTTTCTCCAATATGTTTTGCAGTCTCGCGGCTGATGGGCGCCGCGGCGGCGGGCGCCGGGTCCAACATGGCCGGGTGCTCGGTGGGCCAGTCGATGGGCGACGTGACCAAGTCCTCGGGAATGGGAATGGGCGTCGGCGTCGGCGTCGGTGTCAGCATGGGCGTCGGCGGGATGCAGTTTCCCCACCTAACCCAAAGACGAAAGCGTCGCGTTCTCTTCACCCAGCAGCAGGTTCACGAGCTCGAGAGGCGGTTCAAACAGCAGAAATATCTGAGCGCCCCGGAACGGGAACACCTGGCGTCCCTGATCAATCTCACGCCCACACAGGTACGTGCGCAACATTTGTTTAGATTCCTCTGTCGTCGGGATAGATTCTTACATCGTTCATTAAAGATGGATGACACGGAGTATCGGGAGGGGGTATTTAATGATCGGCGGACGCTCAGATTTACCTTGGAAAAAAGTGGTACGTAACGTTACGTGCAGTATTCACTGAAAACTTTGGAATTTTCAGATCGCAGATATGCTCGGGTTTAGCTCGAAAAGTATAACGAGCGGAGATTCAAGATTACTGGAATTTTGAGATCGTAGAGCAGAGCTCGGCAAGATCGACACTTTTCGGCCGAAAACACGTTTTCAATTTGAAATCTAAACATTCGTAAATGAAGTCGGAAGAGAAGCGATGCTCGGTTTACCTTATCGCTGCCCGAATATATTATAAATGCATTCTTGATGCTCCAGGCGGCTACCGATCGGCGTAGATCTTTATATTTGTCTTTTCCTCGGCGGCGTGACTGACGCGTATCGCGACGAGACGAGTCAACGTTGTATATAGAATAAGAATAGCATTCCACGCGGTTGAAACCAAGGGGCTAGCATCCAAATAGGAACGTTGTTTAACGAGAGGACGATGTTGTGTATCGATCGCGTTCTCGAGCCGCGTTTCTGTTTCCGTTCTACCCGATCGGGAATCGACTAATTACAGCGTAGCGACGGCGTAATCCGCGCCGATCGGTCGGATCGGTCCACCTGTTTCCTCCTGGCGATGCTCGAGATGGCGAGACGCGCACACCGACGGCCGTATCGCGTGCACGCGGAGGCGCACGACGAGGATTAATTGCCGAGAGGAGATTAATTGCAGGGAGCAGGTGGTGGGTGTACGCGTGGGTGTATCTGCGTCTCTCGGCCAATCGGATCGATCGACCTCAGGGGCGTTGGTTGCTTCGGAGCTGTCAGCCAGAAACGTCGAGGCGCCTGCCGTCGAATGGAGACATTCGATCGTCGGACATTTTCGTTTCGTTCCAAAACCCTGTCTCCGTTACGGGCTCCTTTGGGGAGAAGTTGAAATTCATTCGGAGGCTGGAGGATTAATACGCGGGACGAGTTGGCGCAATGGCGAGTTTAGGACGGAGGTGTCTTGACCCTTTATAGGGAAGAACTCCCTGGGCATTTTTTTTTTCACTGTTTCACTTTTTCACTCCAGGTTCCTTAGAGGTTACCATGTGAACCGAGTGACCTATAGAGGGTCAAGACGGGAAGGATAGGTGTCGATTTCGATAGTTCGAGAGAATTTGTGACGTTTCGGTAGCTTTGGTGGTCCTCGGGTGCTGCAGCTATGTTTCATTGCATAAATGTAGCTACAGTACGGGTTTGGCGATCCCGAGGTAACCGAGCTGTAGGGGGGATCCTAAGGGATCCTAAGAAACAACTAGTACCGCTAACGAAAAAGTTACGAAGAGTGGTATCTTAGCAAATGTAATGTAAAGAATCAGTGAAGACAGTACGTCTTGTTAATAGTAGGGATGGAAGTAGCTTCTGTTGGATACTCGAAAGCGTGTAAAATTTCCAAGCGATTTAAACTTCAACCGTTGCCCAACGTGTATCATTTTTATTTTCAATTTCTGATAGTTCCCATTTGAAACCATTATTTTTCCCCTAAAAGTCGTAGCTTGAAAGCGCCGCTATCGCCACGCAAAGTAGTCGGTTTGTCGCGACTCCGAAGAAAGGGTCTCGTCCAATTTTGGTAGCGCGATTCGACACGTCGGGTGGAACAATTCGGTATCGAAAGTGTTAAGCAAATCGTAGAGGATGTCCAGAACGTCGGGAACAGTCCTCGAAGAGGCTCTTTGTTTGTTCGAGACACCGGACATTCGACCAGGCTCGCTGGTTGGACGGTCCTTCCAACCGAACGACGCGCGCAAATATTGTCTTAGGTATCCGAAATTTTTCTCTCCGCTCGATCGATGGCGATTAACCGTGACGCAACCGCGTGAAAGTCGAATATGCAGATGGAGAACGCTCGCGAAGGTGACGCCACTCAGTTTTCTTTAAACTAGGAAGGTTGGGAAATCTTTGTTATCGTATGTCACGATGTCTTACGTTGTCACGGTTGAGACTTTGGTTATACGGTAGTCTCTCTAAATCCTCAAATTTCTCTACGATAAATGCACAGTGAAAGTTTAAGGTGATAGTACGGCAGGTAGTTGAATTCGTCCCGATACGGTCCAAAATATTGGTCTTGGTCAGCTAAAATTTTTTTTCAAAATTTTCGAAATTTTTCTTCCCAAAATTTATTATAGCGTGGTTCGCAGAGAAGCGAATCGAAATGATCGACTTTTAGCTCGCGCATTTAAGGAGACTTTACCGTACATGTTGATACTAATAATAATTAATAATCGAACGTAGAGACGTAGTTTCTACGCCCAGTAGACGAACGCCAGGGCTTTTATATCGAGGAATGAAAATTGTAGGTAACGAGTAGAGGGTGTGTTCGAGCGGAATCGTTTCGGCGGTGGCCATTTAAAACGTTCGGGACCAGAATCAGACTTTAACGAGCAATCTTCATCGGGCAGACAGGTCTGCCCGGCTCGACGCGGCAGTCTGGCAACAATAAATAATTGTTGCGCAGCTCATTGGTTGCATCCTGGTCGCTCGTCCCCTCGTTCAGTCTGCCGTTTCGTCTGCAGCACGTCTCTCCGCTCAATCCGCTCGTCGCGACGTGCGCTACTCCGCACGATTCGCTTCGTGGCAATCCGGAGCCTTAACAACGGAAGGCTCGTCGAAAAGATCTGGTAAGAGTCGGATCAGGACGGTCCATGAAAACAAAAATCAGTGACATTTGGTAAAATGATATTAATCGTAGAGAAATTCGTGCATTTACGGAGACCTTACTGTCCATCAAGATAGCTACTTGAATCGTAGGTCAAGCTTCCCGCCAATCTTGACCGATTCAGCTTAAACCAGTGTCGCGTTTTAACTCGGATCATGCTACTCGAGTCTCGAGTGTCTCGACTCTTTCTCGTCAGTCTCTAAACACAGTTCGTCCGCGTACAGTACGAATCACCTAAAAGCCGAATGGGTTAACGTATCCCTAGTATACGACCCCTTTCTCTTTCGCAAGCCCCCGAGTGTCGCACCGTCGAGTGTCCCACCGTCGCACATCCCATAATTCTGCATCCCCGGAACGAAGTCTCCTCTCGCTTCCCTCTCAAAAAGCAAGAAACGCCAGAGTCCACAGGGGCAACGTTTAGCTTTCCAGCTTTCTTCGTCGTACCAGCGCCGATTCGCAAGGGAAAGCGTGGTGTGCCGTCCTCCTGAAAGCGGAAGTCGTCGGTGGGTTCGCCGTAGACCGCGTAGGAAGTCCCCAAAGAGGGCTGATTGCAATCAGTCGCGGATTTTCGCGTGTGCTCTCGCCGGAGGGGCGAGGTAGGGACCGTGCAGAGGCGGCACATAAGTTTCGATAACGAGTTTCAGACTCGATGGCACTCGGATCTCGCTCGAGCCGTGAATGCTGGCCACGAAGGCCATAGCCACGGAAGCGGGACGTTCGTGAGAGAAAGAGAGAGAAAGGGTGAGACACAGTGAGGAGACCAGCCGGGAGCTGATCGTTCTATATATATATATATATATATATACCTACACATAGGCACACGCACACACTGGTGCAAACACACATATACTCGCACACGAGCGCGTGTGTCGCAGACTCTTGAACTTCTGGGGACAAATAGAGACCAAACGAGCTCCCGGTATGACGTGCACGCGTGTCTACGTGTACGTATAGGTTGGAATACGTGCGTATAGGTGTGTGGACGCGAGCACACCGCCACCCTGCGGTACCATCCACTTACGGCCACTCGAAGTCTACGTACGAAGTCGTGCTCTGTAGGTAGCCCCGCGATGGCTGCGCCGGGGAGACTAACGAATCATTATGCGAGAACTATGCCGGATCTTACGTGCCCTAGCGACGCTTCGAAAGCGATATTCCGCGAGGAGAGCCAACGGGAGGAAGTGGAGCATAGGCGGGAGGGACGGACAGAGGAGTTTCGTTTCTTTCGCGCAGGAAGATCGCCCGTGCTCGGGAACAATTGCTAGTTAGCGCGAGCTTTCCTTTCCCGAATCGATGGGACGTTAGATGGGTTATTAAGGGTGTTAGAGGGGTTCAAGGGAGGTAATTTTGAACGAGTTTTTGAGAGCGGTTGAGATAGCAACGGAGGAATACGCGGGAGAGCTGTTTCAAGGTTGAGGGTACCGAGGATGGCGTATCGGTGGATCGGTGGATCGGATGGTTAGGAGGTATGCAATTACGATTGCAAATGGATGATTGACGCGTGTTACGTGCAATTCGGAGGTCGATACTTT